GGGAAACTCAACAGAATCTCCACCCTCTACTCCCCACGCCCCCCCACCCCCCACCCCACAGGCGGGACCTGCTGGGCGGTTCCCAAGCACATTCCTGTGTGTCAAGCTCACAGCCTTGTGCTCGCTTCCCTGTAACCAGACCACGCACATCTGCAGCGTGTTTTCTGGCTTACAAAGAGCTGTCACTATCGGACCTGGTCTGCATGACCCTCAGCACCGCCTAGCGATGTAAGTGAGAGAGGTGTTGGATCCCACTGAAGACACGGAGCTCAGAGAGAGTGATGACGAGGAACCGCGCCCAGTTCTGTGTGTGGAGCTGCAGGGCTCGCCCATGGCTCCGGCGAAGGAACCCGAGGGTGCTGCCACCTGTCTTAGCTCTCAGGGCGTTTCTTTGTTTATTTTCTCCACCAGCGTTTGGCAAACTTCTCCCGTAAAGGGCCCGAGAGGAGGTGTTCAAGGCGTTGCTGGTGGTTAGGGTCCATGTCATAAATCCCCAGCGCTGCCTGGTGGCACGAATTCGGCCCCGGACAGTGAGCAGATGAGTGAACGGTACGGCTGTGTGCCCCTGACGCCGCTGTGCGCCTCTGTGCTCCCCTAATGGTGTCTGTGCACCGCCAATGCCACCAGCGTGCCCCCCGATGCCGCCTGTGCGCCCCTAACACTGTCTGTAGAAACAGGCTGCAGAGTGTACTTGGTCTGTGGAGCACAGTCTGCCGACCCCTGTCTAAGGCCCCCGCTGAGTTCTGGATGCGTGAATCTGCCCTATGAGAAAGGAGGATGTGCTCTGGACCTGGAGCCAGAACGCACCTGCTACCTGCCGTCCAGCTCCTGGCAATCTGCCCGCCCCAGGCCCTGCGACAACCCAGTCCTCACGGCCTGTCGCCTGTTGCCTAGGAACGTTCCTAGTTGTCACCAACAAAGCCTCCCCCCCCCCCCCCCCGGTAATAATGTCTTGTAAAAAGACTCATAAATGACAAAAACACAAACAGGCTGGCCTCACAGAGCACGCTGCCCATTCCCAGGGGGCCTTGCTACCTGGCGGCCTCAGACAGGAAGCCGAGGCTGCGATGAAGAGCTGTGTCCTTTGTTGCAGGGGTGCCTATTTTTGTCCTGAAGGAGGAAGCATGGGGGGGGGGGGCACAAAGGCAGAGGGGCTCTCCCAGGTAAGCACGCCTCCTGGAGAGCTGAGGGCGAGTCTTGGGTCACAGGGATTAGAAAGAAGCCACTGGGAACCTTTCCCATTGAAAAGAAAGGAAAAGTCACTTCTCTTCCTCTTTCAAGGGTGTCAGCAGGGGTCTCTCCCTCTCCATCTCTCTCTCCATTTCTAGTGCCTTCAAAACAAAAAGAAAAAAAAAGATATCCACTTTCTTGCTCCCGTTCATTAAGGAAATGACATTCTCCACTAACTTGCTGTACGTGACTGCAGTCGCCGAGAATGAGAACAGCTTTCTAGCGCCTCTTCCTCCTCCCACCGCAGACACGGAGGAGTCTGGCGGCCTGAATTCCAACCCCCACGCCCCGCTGATAAGCCGTGTGACTTGGGACGAGGTATCTGCTCCCAGTTCCCATGTCTGTAAGATGTCAACGATAGCCATACCTGTGCCTCGCTGGGAGCTACGTGCATCCAGAGATGACGTGCAGACACGCGGCCCAGACAGGACTGGATTTGTGGGAACCCGAGGGAGAGGCCTGGGGGGCTGGGGCCAAGCCCCTCTGGGACAGGAGCCAGTCAGGGTGCACTCAGTCACCCAGTAGTTCATGGGCCCCTGTACGCGACCGTGCAGAGCTGATTTCCAGGGGAGGACGCAGACCACAACATAAACAGAGCACCTGTGTGAGGGGCGCCACACAGAAGAACAGAGAGGGGTGGGGAGGGAGGTTCAAGGCCTTTCTGAGAAGGTGACAGCTGACCAGAGCCTCGCTCTCCGTGAAAGGAGACGGTCGCAGCCTGCGCTCCACAGGGAAGGCGTGAGGATAAGCGAGATAAGAGAACGCGGTGACATTCGTCACAGTCCCCGGAGCGTGGATGTGATGCAGTCGCTGTTGGGTGCTCAGGAGGGGGCAGTGGGAAGTCCAGTCCCACTGGGAAGGCAGCGTCCAGTCCTCTGGGAAGCCAGCGGCCTCTGCACTTTAACTCAGTCCGTCACGGCTAAGCCCATGCCTGGCTCGCAGGGCTGCTCGAGCAACACTGGCAGACCCAGTGCAAGAGGTTGGACGGTGCCTTCCGAGGGACCAAGAAGGGACATGAAGCGGCACTTTGGGGAGAAGGAGAGGGCCTTGGGGAACGAGGGCTTTTCACGTGACTTTCACATGATGAACATATCCCAGCATCTCGGGGTATGTTAACAACCCCATGCCTGCGCGTTAGCTATCCTGGAAGTTTCCAGAAGACTTGGCAACAGAGCTGGCGTAGCCCTGGGGAACAATAAAGTCACTCCTTCCCATCGGGAAGGCTGGGAACCGGCTACAGGCTACAGCAGCTTCCATCCAGCGTCCACCAACCCGGTTTCCAAACGGCAACAGCGCCCCCTGCTGGAGAGAGAAGGCGGCTCCTGCATCGGCCCCCACTGTTAGTCCGCCAAGCGCTCTGTGGCAAAGGGGAGTCCTGGCCATCACTCTGGCCCGCAGTGATTTTCATTCTGAAAGCTTGTTGATCCCTCATCTTGTTATTCTTTGGGGCCAAGCATGGGAACGGGTGCTGAACCCCAAGTCTCACTGTCTCCTCCTCTGGCTGGTCTCCTGTCCTCTCTCTGGGTCCCGTGTGAAGACAGTGCCGGGGGCACACTCTCATGAGGTCAGAAACCCCGAGTCGCCTTCCCTGCATCTTCTGGGCCCCTCTGTCGGGAGTGCCTTGGGCACATCCATGAGCCCAGAAATGCCACCTGACTCGGGATGTTTCTGCTCAGCGTGTGTGCCGGGCCCACCTCACACGGGACTCACACGTTACACATGACTAACCTGGGTCAGTCACCAGAGATCAGCGTCAGGGACCTGACAGGCCAGAGTGAGCTCAGAGTTAACTGCAGGCAGACACAGAACTTAGTTTCAAAACTTCCTAACAGGAAGGCAGAAAGGGAAATAAGTGGGACTACGCAGTTCCTATTGTCAGGAAAAAACAAAACAAGACATAATACTTGTCTGACAGAGAAGTCAGAAAAGTGATCGAAAAGTCTCCTTTCCGAAAGCGTGGGCCAGACACAGGGCAGTTCAACAGCAAAGGCTCTCGGCTGGGGTTTTGTAAAGAGAAGCTCGCGGTGGGGAGGGAAGCAGTGTTTCTCGGCCCCAAGGCCTGGGCCCCTGCGCGATGGGAACCCAGGAGCCACCGGCCAGAAACTGCTCCAGTTTCCAACCTCAGGGGAAGGGCCCGGGGTGGCGTCTAGGCCAGAGGTGTGGGGCTGCAAGGTGAGGACAGGACCTATTCAGACTCGATTTCCCACCTGCACAGTGAACTTCGTGGAGCATCCCCCGGCTTGGATTCCGGAGCTCCATCGCCCCCTCCGCTCAGGCGGCCAGTGCCTGTCCGTCCCAGGGCAGAAGCCAACACGCTGTGACTCCCAAGGCCCACGCTGGCGGGAGCTTCCCCCGCAGGCCCCGGCGAAGCCGTCCGGGTGGGGAATGCCGCCAGCACCCCTCAATGGGTGGGCAAGCACCTCCTTGTCTGTGAAGCTGATAGAGGCTTCCCAGGTGTGCCCCCCTGGGCGCTGCCACGTGGTCCCGGGGTCTCAGGAGTGAGTGGGGAGTCCTCCCACCAGGAATGTCAGGCCTCTGCACAGCCCAACGGGTGCTTCCCTACACCTCCGAGTGGCTGCCTCTTCTACGACCTCACCCGCTGCCTTGCTCGGGGCAGGAAGGGCCTGAGTGTTGCTTCGGGCCATTTTTGGGACAATTTACATGTTGAGCACCGAGGCATTAGTGGCTGGGGACTAGGGACTTCCCACTGCCAATGTCAGGCTGTGGAGCCTCTGGAGCGGCGCGCTGGTGCCCTCTAGTGGGAGCTGATTGCGGTGCAGCCGACTGTCCTCATGGCCTCTGCACCAGGTGCACTGACCCTGGGCCACACTGGGAGCAGGATGACAAATGATGGGGGTTGGGAGGTCCCCATCATTGTCAACACGGCGGGACGGCCAACCCCTTCCACCCCACGTGCTGTTCACAGTAGAGATACCAAAAATGCAGGAGGGGCCCCTAAAACCCCATTCTAAGCCCAGTTGCTTGGGTTTTAGCTTCTACCCAGCCGTATGGCTTCACAGCCCGAAACCATGACTGATGTCCCCCCAGAAACCATGTCACCACGCTCAGAGCCTCCTGCTTTCCACCCGAGCCCAGAGCTCCTGGGAGCAGTGCTGGCTGGCCTCAGCGCACCAGAAGCTGCCGACGGGTCGTGGGCGCTAAAATCTAGCTGCTGGCTATCACCTCCCCCAGCTCACCTGACCTTCGCCCTCTGCTGCCATTTACGAGGAAGCAGACCTTGGGGGTGTCACCATCAACATCAGCCCTTACTAACCAACCAGGTGCCGTTCCCGGGTGGAGAGCCATGCTGGGAAAATGGGGCACCTGCTGTCCGCCCTGCTGCCGAGCCCCAGCGATGGGGCTCCCTGAGGGACAGCACTGTGTGGCTCACCCCCGAGACGCTCTGCCTGCTGTGGAAGTACAGCCGGGGGGACCATCTGGATAGGGGGTCCTTGGCTTTGGCTGGAGCGGGGGTTGGATGGGCACCCACGTGTCAGCATCTGGGCTCTGACGAGGCCCTCCCACTAGGTGTGACTCCCAGTGAGAGAGAGGCCAGAGCTCCCTGCAGATCAACAATAGGCATTAAGTCTGAGGGCCACATAGGCATTAAGTCTGAGGGCCATGGGCCCTCCGCACACACATGGGACACTCTGCATGGTACACCCGGTGATGCTTTGTTGGAGGTAGGGGCCAGCGGGAGTGCCCAGGCCCAGGCCCAGCATCGGGACCTAGGAGAAGGGGAGTGTGTGAGGCGCTGCCCCTGTGCCTACCTGCCAGGCTGGGAGGACCTTCTCGATGTCATTCAGGTTGATCCCATCCCCATCTTCCAGCTTCCCTTTTCCACACCTGGAGCAGAAAAGACAAAGACGTTGAGAGGATGGCACCTGCCTGGATCCTGCCCCGCCTGGCAAACAGGAAGAGAGGGGTCCATGGGGCGACACCTGGTCCTGCCCTCCCTCCAGGCCTGCCGAACCAGCCTGCCCGCCAGGAGGAAATGCCCTGGTGACCAATGCTTTGTCCTCAGGTCCTCTGTGGCCAGGTGACCCTTCAGGCTGTCCCCCGCCCCCACTGGCTGCACAGGCCTTCATGGAGGACAAAGGACTCGTGCAGATGGGATGCTGAGACCAGCCTGAGGGCGGGGCACAGAAGCACCATAAACTCCTTGCTGACAGACCCCCAAACCTGTCACAGCTCTGCAACAGCCTCGCATCCTGACCAGCAAACTAGAGAGAAATGAATGGAGAGAGAACAGCTTCCTAGGTCACACAGCCCCAGGGGGGCTTCCTTCTTCCTTGGGCCTCACGTTGGGCCAGCCCACCAGCCCGCCGGCCCAGACGCCGACCCTTTGTCTTCATGTCCTCTGTGGCCAGGTGACCCTTCAGGCCAAAGGTCCATGTCTCCTGCACACTGAAGGTGCAGACGCTGGCACCAGACTCCAGGGGTTGGAACCCCAGCCACTCCGCTTACTAACTGGGTGACCCTGTGCAAGTCACTTAACCTCTGTATCCGTTTCCTCGTTAGAAAAATTGGGATAATAATGTCTAACATGATAAGGTGAGCGGAGGATTAAATTAATGCATCGAAGTGCTTAGAACAGTGATGGCGAACCTTTTGAGCTCGGCGTGTCAGCATTTTGAAAAACCCTAACTTAACTCTGGTGCCGTGTCACATATAGAAATTTTTTGATATTTGCAACCATAGTAAAACAAAGACTTATATTTTTGATATTTATTTTATATATTTAAATGCCATTTAACAAAGAAAAATCAACCAAAAAAATGAGTTCGAGTGTCACCTCTGACACGCGTGTCATAGGTTCGCCATCACTGGCTTAGAACCTTGCCAGGCGCACGGATACACACGCACTTAATATACCATATTTAACGGTAAATATATTCCCACGGTAAGTATAGGGGGCAGTTAGATAAAATGATAATAAAATAAATAAGGTAACTACATTGCTGTTAGTAGTACTGCCTCTGCTTCTACTACGATTACTGTTGTCACTGCTATTGGGAAGAACAGCGGCATAGTGACCGAGGACATACACCGATTTTGGAGCCAGCCCAGCCTCATGCAGGTCACTCATTGGGGAAGGGTGTCTCCCAGCTTCCTCATCTGTCAAAGTGAAGAGAATAACGGCACCTACTTTGCCAGGTGGCGGAGAGCTTGATACGAGGTAAGCACTGAGGACGGTACTCACCTGCCTGTGCGCAGTATTAGTTACTATATGTATTATTATGCTATTGTTAGTGACCCAGGTGTGGTGAGGGCTGCCCAGGAGCTGGCGCCAGCGTTTTCTAGCTGCAGTTTATGCAACTATAAGACTTCAGAGTAATCCGTTTAGTGGTTCGGTATTCGCCAAGCACCTCCTATGTCTTGGGCCCTGTCAGCCTCCCTCGGAGTCATGGGCAATGAACCCACCGCGGTCCTGCCCTCAGCCAGCTCACAGCTCTTAGGAAACAAGTCCTAACCTCAGCGGACAGGGTGGTACGCCTGAGCACCGGTGGGGCAGCATGAGATCAGTGTCAAGAAAATCCTATGGCCAGAGGGGCCCGGAGCCCCGAGGAAGAGAAACCGGGTGGCTGCAGAAATGAGCCAAGGCCTGGGAGGAAGAGAGCATGGGATGTGACCCATCCCGCATTTCACAAGTGCCTCTGTGGGGGCTCGGGCGTGGGCTGGCCCGAGGTAAGCAGTGCACAGGCTGGGCCCTCGGCCACAGCAGTGCTGGGTCAGGGGCAGGAGAGGGCGCGACAGGAACCCAGAAGAGAGGGTCTACAACAGTCTGAGCAGAGGGAGGGAGATGGGCCGGGAGCTGGCCAAGCAGAGAATCTGGGAGAATGTCCCGGGCACAGGGCAGCAGGGAGGGCAAAGGTCCGGAGCTAAATGCAGCACGATGCCAGCAGGACATCAGCGTTCATGGGCTGGAGTAGGGGGAGAGGGTGCCAGGGGTGGGTAACAGATGATCTGGAGGGCCAGGCTGGAAGGATACAGGGGTCTGGCAGGCGAAGCTGGGGCAGGAAGGGTGAAGGAGAGAAAAGAGGAGGTTCTTGCCTTTCAGCCCCCCACTCTGGCCTTGGGATGTGCTGGGTTGCAGATGAGGTGAAGAAAGGTCTAGACCAGCCGTGGGCAAACTACGGCCCGTGGGCCGGATCTGGCCCATTTGAAATGAATAAAACTAAAAAAAAAAAAAAGACCGTACCCTTTTATGTAATGATGTTTACTTTGAATTTATATTAGTTCACACAAACACTCCATCCATGCTTTTGTTCCGGCCCTCCGGTCCAGTTTAAGAACCCATTGTGGCCCTCGAGTCAAAAAGTTTGCCCACCCCTGGTCTAGACACAGCCTGGCCAGTGTGGCTCAATGGTTGAGCATCGACCTATGAATCAGGAGGCCACGGTTCAATTCCTGGTCAGGACACATGCACTGGTTGTGCGCTCAGCCCCCAGTAGGGGCCTTGCAGGAGGCAGCCAATCAATGATTCTCTCTCATCACTGATGTTCCTATCACTCTCCCTCTCTCCCTTCCTCTCTGAAATCAAGAAAGGTCTAGAAACAGCCAACTGCCTTTTCACCAACACATCTGCCTGGTAGAGACAGGCTGGCCTGTGAAACTACCAATGGCCTGTCGTCATCTCTGTTTCATCTGTGCCAGGGCAGGGGGGAAGGAGGGGCCTGCGGACTGGGCCGACTAGAATGGCTGACACCGGCTCCTCTAAGTCACGTGTGTGTACCTCCCCTCTGGCTCCAGCACATGCAGGCCCCAGCCTAGCACAGCACAGGCCTGGCCTTCCATTCTCCCGTCACAGCCCCAGGTGGTGTGTGTGTGTGGGGGGGGGGGGGGCTGTGTTTCCCTGGCCCTAGACCCACCCTGTCCGGGGCTCAAACCCCTGGATGCCTGCAGGCTCGAGGGCAGAAGGCTGATGGAGACCAGCTGACTCACTGTTGCCAACAGGGTTTCCAAGGCAACAGCTGTTTCCAATTCCTGTCCCTCCGTGGATACCTGGGAAGCCTTGGCAACAACGTGGTGCCCTGCTCCCGAGATGCTGCAGTGGCTGGGCACGTGGCGTCTGCCCCAGTGCGGCAGGGCTCTAAGGGGACACAGCCCTGGCCCAGCCACAGGCGGCCTCAGGACGCTGCATATGACTCCCCGGGAGCAGGATGAGACAGACTTTGGCCAGAACTAGTGACTATGGGAGCCTGGCCTGCAGCTGGTGAGGGGCTGTGTCCGGTCCCTCAGGCTGCAGAGGGGACATGGTGCTCAGCTCCGGGAACTTCTCCTCCCCTGAGTCAACTGTGGCCACTGCCAACCAGTGTTTTGTTCTGTTCACTTGTGGGAACTGGTGCAGACCCTCCGAGAGCCTGACTATGACACACGTTCCCCATCAGACACCTTCTGTCTCTGGGCCTCAGTTTCCCCTCTGGTTTCACCATCCACGTGCTCCCAGGGGACAGGGGAGAGATGGGAGCTTCCCAGGGATATGCTGTGTCTCTCTCCCGAAGCCATTCCCAGACAGCTCATCCTCCCAAAGGGCTCTCCACTCTGACCCCTTCGCAGTCACGTGACTACATGCCTGGCAGCTGATTTCACAGTGCGCACTCTCTAAATGTCTCCACCACACACCGAGCCTTATTTCCCTGCACAGTCTCAGTCATGAATAGGTGCGTGTTACCTTTTCAAACAGTCCTGCTGGGCAGGGGGCTGTGTTTTATGGAGAGATGGAGAGATGGAGAGAGAGAGAGAGAGAGAGAGAGAGAGAGAGAGAGAGAGAGAGAGAGATCCTCACAGTACCCAGCACCATGCGGACACCTAGGGGGCCTAGCGACTGGGCTTCAGAAATGCAACATGCCGTTCCCATGGCGCACCCCACGCTCCACCTCGCCCACAACAAGGCAGATGGGAGCGTCACCTCCGCTGAAAACCCGCTCCTGAACGTGGGAAGGTCAGCTTTCCTAAACCCAGCCGTGTGGGCTCAGCCCTGCTCAGCAGCAGCGCAGGAGGAAAGGGGTAGCGGCTGCGGAGTGAGGGGCTGAGCGTGCAGTGAGCAGCAGACGGCTTGAGGCAGGGCCAGGGGAGCCTTGGGCCGGGCCTCTGCTTTGCTCTACCGCCTCTAACAGGGTGCTCCATGCTCAAGGCCATCCTCCCTCTCTACCCCCCCAAAAAACGACCCCAAAAGTTCTGATGGAATCCACACAAACAGGACAATGAAAAAAAAGGGCATGGTGAGAGGCTCCGTCCCCTGGGAGAGGCTGACATGCGTGACATACCTCTTCCTAGAAATATGCACGAGCACACGATTTTGCATAAAGTTTTGAGGGGGGAAGCCGATTCAGGGATACACTGGCCGGCATCAGAGGTCTTAAATCACAGCTCTGCCACTTGGGCGAGCGCCTGGGCGAGGTCCCGCCTCTCTGAGCTGCGTCCCTCTCAGCTCTGAAAGGAGGACGAGCACACCCTGCCAGGTTGCTGCTCATTCCACTGTGGCGAGACCAGCTGCCAAGAGAAGGGGTGGGTGGGACAGAAAGTGGCAGCAGGAGGCCAGGTGAGAGCAGGAAACTTATGTTCAGACCTAACGCGACAGGGAGACAGGAGCGGGCAGGGAAGGCTCGGAAGGAAAAAGAAAAGCCATGAGTATAATTCACAGAAGAAAATTACAAATGTCCACGAGGATGTGGAGAAACCAGAACCCTTGTATGTTGCGGGTGAAGGTGAAATATCCAGCACTTGGGGAAAACACTGGCAGTTCCTCAAAAAGTTAAAACCTGAATTACCACGTGTGATGTTGTAATTCTAGAATAATAAAAGCGTAATGTGCTCATTAGACCAGACATCCTTCCGGACAACCTTCTGGATGAAGCCGGGGCTGCAAGGGAAGCCTGGGTCCCGGGTGCCAGAGGGAAGCCGGTACCAGCAGCCGGGGGAAGGAAGGCCTACTCTTGCATGAATTTCGTGCATGGGGCCTCTAGTTTATAATAAGAGATATTTGCTCTTCCTCCCCAGTCCTGGCACAGAGCTCCCCAAATCCTGGGCATTTCCTAAAGGATGGAGGGATTTTGTTGTGTTAATGAGGTGACTGTAGAAAGTCCCTAGGCAACCTGAGGATGGGGCTGGTTGCCAGGGGAACCAACCCAGAGAAGGAGGGTTAGAACTTCCAGTCCCATCCCCTGACCTCTGGGGAAGGGAGAGAGCAGAAGGTTGAATTAATCTCCAGTGGCCAATGATTTAATCAATCATGACTATGTGATGAAGCCATGAAAACCCAAGAAGACAGGGCTCTTTAAAAGGGGAAGGCAACAGTGATGCATGAAATAAGTAGAGGGTGAGACATCCCAGTGAAAAATCATCCACTACACCAGTGGTTCTCAAAGTGGGGTCCCAGGACCAGCAGCAGCCCTGGGAATCTGTTAGAAACGCACACGCTCACACCCCACCCCAGACCTCCAGACTCAGGGATCTGTGTTTTAACAAGCCCCCGGGTGGTTCTGGTCAAGTGTGAGACCCACTGCACTAGGCTACTGACGTGCAGGGTCAGGAAGGGAGCGGGCAGTGTGGCTGAGGGATGCAGGAGGCCAGGGAGCTTGCAGGGCTGAGGCCAGGACTCATCTGTGTGTCCCTCAAGCAGCAGGACCGCCGTCCTGTCCAGGGAGAGGCCCCTCTCAGCTCTGGTGTAGCCACAGCTGTTTTCTCCCCACCCTCCCCCTCCACACCCCGGCCGCTGCCCCTTACCCTTCACGGTCGATGTGTGCCAGGGGCTGCTTGGGCGTGTGTCGGAGCCTCCGGTGGAACTGGGTGAAGTCCAGCTTTTCAGGCTGCAGGTCCCAGGTGGCACCACTAGAGGGCGAGGGAGGGCAAGAAATGAGAGGTGAGCGGGAGGAGACAAGCCCAGCCAAGGAATGGAGCCGAATGGAGCCTGTGGTGTCAGCTCTGGGGACTGCCCAGCCGGGTGTGTCTGGAACCTGCTCAGAGCCAGGCAGAGCGGAGCGAAAGGGCCAGGCCACCCATGGCCTGAGGGGTGGACACCAGGGCAGGAGCCCATTAGCAGCCCGTGAACCCTGGCCAACACCTGTTCTTCCAACCTGGTCCATCAGGAACCTTCTAGATCAGTGGTTCTCAACCTTCTGGCCCTTTAAATGCAGTTCCTCATGTTGTGACCCAACCATAAAATTATTTTCGTTGCTACTTCATAACTGTCATGTTGCTACTGTTATGAATCGTAATGTAAATATCTGATATGCAGGATGGTCTTAGGCGGCCCCTGTGAAAGGTTCTTCGACCGCCAAAGGGGTCATGACCCACAGGTTGAGAACCGTTGTTCTGGAGTCTGAGCCACTGAAATCCCCTCCTTCCTCCAGATTTCCCTGCTGCCAGCCCCACCAGCTGTGACCTCAAGGGGGAGGGGGGAGGTTCCCAGCCACAGCTCTCTGTCCTGACCCACCCCAGGCTGCCTGACACCCCGAGCCATCTCCTCTGCTCCTCTCCAGTCCTCCCTCTGCTCCTCTTCCCTCCTCTTACTTTTCCCCTTGGATACGCTCTCCTTCTCCTTCCCTCGGTCTCCGTCTCTCCTCTCCTGCCCTCCTTCCTCTTCAGCCGCATGCTGTAAGCTACCTCACATCCTCTAGTTCTCCTGCTTCTTCATCAGTGAACTCTCAACATTTCCCCAAAGGCCCCACGGGGCATCAGGACACAAAGCTGGGGTCCCAGCCAGAGCCACACCACACAGAGGACGGGAGCTCACCTGAAGGAGTCGAAGGTGTTGGCGGCCCAGATGTCTGTGCCCAGCATGTCCAGAGAGTTATCTTTGCTGCCGTTCTAGGAGGGGGGCAGGGAGAAAGGAAAGGGCAACATTATTTGCTTGGCTGGGACACTGAGAACAAGAGGGGGCTGCAGAGGTCTCCCTGCCCCCTCGGCTGGTCATCCTGGGCAGCTGGGAGGACTCGGGTGGACGCCTAGCCTCCGCCCAGGCCCGGCCGTCGCCTGGATGGTGTGTGCCGGAGCTGTGCCATCAGGTACAGAAACGGCTCGGGTCTCGCTGCCGCCCCAGCCCATGGCTCTCTCCTCCAAGCCTCCACATGGACGAGCGGCCCCCAGGCACACTGGAGGGTCCCCGTGGGGGTCAACTTCCGACTCCCTGAAATCAGGCAGCGCTGAGCAGCCCCCACTGACTAAGGCTATGCCAGCAACTGGATTTCTGTCACCCAGCGCCCGTCTCCACACTCAGACAGTTCTTGCGAGGCCCAGCCACAGACGGAAAACACTCTACGTGCTCCAGCTTCTGTGATATGGCTTCTCTGCCCTCCCTGCCTCCACGCCTGTTGCCATCCCTCGCTCGTTAGCCCTGCTGTCTGCTATCCATCCTCTCACTCTTTAAAGGCAAAACCTCCACCTCTGCTAATGCTGAATGTGCACACGCCTTGCGACCCAGGCCTGTGCTCCCGGGTGTGAACACACCCGAAATGTGGGCGGACATTCACCAACAGCAGGCAGCACAGAGGAAATCCCCGAACGCCCACCCGCTGACCACACAGATCCACCGTGGTGTGTTCACACACTGGACGATCACACAGCAGTGAGGACCAACAAATTAAAACAGCACGGCACGGCATCAATAAATCCCACGTGGAGTGAAACAAAGGAACCCATGGTTCATCCATGGCCCCAAGTAAATTTTAAGCTCCTCGACTGCCACCTTCTCTTCTGGTGCCCCCAGTGGCCCGGCGAGGCACACAGTACGTCCACCTCAGATGCCTGCCAACCGATGGAACAGATCCTACCCTGTAAGTGGAGCAGGCGCCGGCCAGCTGCCTGTGTGTCTGGAAGACTGACTCACAGGTTAGGATGTCAAGGGCAATTTTCTGTCCGAGGGCTTCCGATCCAATCAAAGCCCTTGAAACTGGAGAAGTGCCTGGAGAGTCCCCCTCCTTGAGTTCTGGACATCAACCCTCAAAGTCTACAGCCCCCGACACACATGCACACGCATGCACACACACACCCACACACCACCTGTTCCCCAAACCCTTGTAGTACCCAGAAAAAATCAAAAAGCCAGAGGGACAGGAGCCTGGGGACAGATGGACCCACACACAGGCCGAATGCAACCTGATTTCTGGAACTCAGCAGGAGCCAGATCCACCTCACCCTCCAAACCACCCCGAGCCCGCTCCCACCGAGGACCCACACAGAGGAGAGGACAAGCTGAGGAGAGAAGGTGCCCAGGGCCTGCTTGCTCCCAGGCCCCCCTGCCTCCTCGAGCCTTCTGTTTGTGACTGCAGAGGCCTCGCTTCCTCCTGAGCGCACAGGTGACGCTATGTCGGTGTGCGGCTCGCACGCAGGCCCGCCTGTGAAGGGCTCTAAGGCCACACACAGCTGCCGAAGCCATGGGGCTATATTCCTCTTTGGGCACTGTGGCCTTCCTGGACTCAGAGGAAAAAGCAAGTTTCTTTCCACCCCCTCCCCCAGGCTTCTGTTAGGATCCAGCTAAAGACGCTCCGTTCCTTATTCTGCACTTTCCTCGACGCTTGTGCCCCACGAACCCACAGCATGTACAGCACGTACCCCGGTGGCACCCTTCCTGACGGCTCCGCTCAGAGCTCCCCACTGGTGTTCTAGCAACACCGATCCGCTGGCCCTCACGTGTCAGGGTGCATCCGAGTCACCTGGGGAGGGAGTGCTGATGGTTTAAATTGTGCAGCTGGAGTGGTCCATGGACCATGCTTTTGGAAACACTGGATGTTAAAAAGAGTTTCACGGGGAGAAAAAAGTTAAAAAAAAGGCTCCCTGGTCGAATGTTTGGGACACAATGAGATCATGAAATAAATTATTTAATTGAAGAACTTCTCAGTGCCTTTATTGGCTTTACATGGATGCTGACTCTTCAAATGGGGGGGCAGTACAGTGTGCAGTATTTCCCAAACTCTTTTGGCCAGAAATCTACCCCGCCCTTCCTCTTTACAGTATTTCACAGAGCACTTTGCAGGACTAGGGTTCCATGGAACCCCGCTTAGGAAACAGTCATCTAATGCTCTCTCTGTTAGCTCTCTTCTCCAGTTAGTCTGCCATCTTGTCAAAGGTAGAAACCCTGGCTTGGGCCTAGCTGGTGTGGCTCAGTGGTTGGGTGTTGACCTGTGAACCAGGAGGTCACAGTTCGATTCCCGGTTGGGGCACATGCGTGGGTTGTGGGCTTGATCCTCAGTGTGGGGCGTGTAAGAGGCAGCCGATCAGTGATTCTCTCTCATCATTGATGTTTCTGTCTCTCTCTCTCCCTCTGCCTTTCTCTCTGAAATCAATAATATTACATATATTATATATACACACACACACACTCACACACACACACATATATAATAAATAAATACATAAATAAACAAACCCTGGCTTCGCTTTTTTTATTGTATCTCCCTGCCCACTCCCCTCCCCCGAACCCATCCTAACCTTGGGACCCAGCATCATCCATGACCTATTATTTATCAAGGACTCAGAGGCCAGGCACTGTGAGCTCTCCATAAAGCCCCCTGGCTTCTTCAAGATCACTCTCCAGGCTGCAGTTCCCGGGCTGGCCTGTGAGCACAGCTTGTCTCCGAGCCCACCCCACCCGGCTCCGCAGCCCCCCGGCCCTGCTCCCCAGGTTGCTGCAATGCCAAGGCTTCGAGAAGCCCATCAAAAACAAGCACTCTTTTCAGGGGATCGTTGTCAGCACTTAAACTCGGCTGCACACTTCACAACAGCCCGTTACTGGCAATTAGGGGCCCCATGCCAGGGCGAAGCATGCTGCTCTCAGCGCCACCACAGAGGGCTAATGAGCACTTTAAACAGTGTGGAAGGAGAAACGGAAGCGGCCTGCCCATGGGCTGGGACACTGAAGCTGCCCCCGAGAGGCCCCCTGGGAGCACAGCTACCCCAGCTCAGGGGAAGACAGACCCCAGGTGATGACAACAGCAGACGAGGCAGCACACACGGAGGCCAGGCACCATCGAGCACTTTACCGCTGTTACAGCCCTAGGAAGCCGGTGTGGTCACCCCCGTTTCCCTCAGGAGGAAACGGAGGCCCGGAGAACTTGTCCGTGTTCACAGAGCAAGTCCCAGAGAGGCCCTGTGTTTATTCTCTTAACCACCGCAGTGTGCAATTATTCAGATAAATTCCGACCCCACTGTAGATTTCCATAATGCAGTCACATGCCCACCCCCACAACTGTTTGGGTCCTCGAGTCTGTCTCTGTCGTGTTTGGGAAGGCAGTGCTGGTGGAGAGGGTACATCTGCTGTCGTGAAGTTAAGAGGGAACATGGGGTGTGAGCTGTCTAAGTGAATGAAACAGGTGGGAGTCGATCCCTGTACAGTAGAAATACATGCTAAGTCAGGTGTAGTGGAGGGAAAAGAACCCTCTTCTATGCTGCTTTCTTTTCTTTATTAACACAACTAAGAATGGCTTTTGTTTGTGCGCATGCGCATGCATTGACAATTCTAGTCTGCAAGGGTTTAGAAACGACAGAACCTGGCCAAAACAGATACATCCTAGGGCAGGGTCTAAAGCTGCTCTCAGACTGTAAGGGTGACTTGGGTTTGCTTCAGCAAAAAGGAAATAAGAAGCCAAGTACAGCAGGAGGTGGGGAAGGGCAGGACTCAAGGAGAAACAGTTGTGTCGTGTGCATATGCATGCGCGTGCATGTGTGCGTGTGCGAGAGTGTGTGTGTGTGTGTGTGTGTGTGTGTGTGTGTCCATTCAGCACCAAGGACAGCACCCATATGCAAGTGGGAAGGCCTATGATGAGCACCCAACAATTTAACCCCCTTACAGTAGGAGGGCCCCTGAGACGGGAGCATGGCAGAGCAGAACCAGCAGAGAGGACCTCCTGGGAGGCGCCAGCGCTGAGTTCAGGAGCAGGAAGGCCATTTCTATCACTGTGGAACTTCCATGTCTCTCTGTCCATTCTGTCTCTTCCCTCTCTATCCTCATGGTCTTTGAATTAAGACCCAAAAAGACCAGGGAGAGGTGGGAGATAATGACGAAAGCCTATGGCCAAATATATCTCCTCTAAGACAAGGTCACTTCCAGAATACTGACACTGATACAGTCAAGATGCAGAACATGCCCAGCCGGAGTGGCTCAGTGGTTGAGAGTCAACCTATGAACCGGGAGGTCACAGTTTCATGACCACATGCCTGAATTTCAGGCTCAATCCTCAATGGGGTGGTGTGGGAGGCAGCCGATCAATGATTCTCTCTCATCATTCCCTCTCCCTTCCTCTCTGAAATCAATAAAAATATTTTTTTAAAAAGGTGAAAAACATTTCCACCAGCATAAGAATCCCCCTGGCTGCCCTTTTATACCCACACCTACTTTCTTGGCTCCCTTCCTTCCCTAGCCTTCGCAATGGCTAACCGGTCCCCACTTGAACAATGTTCCATAAATGGAATCAGAGAGTATGTAACTTTGGGAACTGGCTTTTGTCTTTTTGTTTTCCACTCAGCACCATTCCCTGAGGGTTGTGAGTGGCAGGAGCTGGCTCCTCTCTTGCTGAGTGCCACAGCTTGTCCCACAGTCACGTGGCTGAAGGACATGTGGGCTGTTTCCAGTTTGGGCTATTATCACTAAAGCTGCTATAAACATTTGAGTACAGGTTTCTGTGTGAACATAAGTTTTCATTCCTCGGGGATAAACAGCCAGGAATGCAATGGCTGGATCAGATGGTTCTTGCATGTTTTTGAAGAATCTACCCACTGTTTTCCACAACGGCGGTACATTTCCCCCAGCGTGTATGACTGACCCAGCAGTGTTTGAGGGGGCACACGCTGCACCCTCACCAGCGCTTGGCGTTGTTCATTATGGATGATCCCATAGGTGTGGGCTGATGTTCCCTCGTGGCTAATGGTGTTGAACATCTTTTTGCGTGTGCTTACTTGCCACCTGTATATCCTTTTTGGTGAAGTATGTGTCTTCGTGTATGTTGTCCATTTTTAAATTGGGTTGTTTTTAATGTGGATTTTTGAGAGTTCTTTATATATTCTAGATACTAGTCCGATTTCACATCTCAGTGTTGACATCTATGGCTTATTCCCTCTTCATTAAGAAATCTTCCCAGTTCTTGGTAGGGCAGGTGACTTTTGACTGCACTCAGGGCACTTCCGTGATACGTTATGAGATTCTGAATCTCATTTAAATCTGTTTTAACTGGCTTTTGGGCCACCACCCTGGCAGCGGAAAGCGGTCACGGCCACAGTATAACCAGTCCAAGGGTGACTCTGTCGTTACAGCTGGTGGAGGCGAAGTTACAGGTCCTCATATGGTCTCCAATGACCCTGCCATGGAGGTGGCCTTCTTACCACTGGACAACAGAAGTCCCAGTTCTCCATTAGGCCTCCTCTGACACATCCCAGCAGGGAGGGGAGGGTGTCTCACTACTGCCGGGTGGGGTGCAAGTCCAGCTCCCCTGCCTGGTCTCCGATAATACCATGGGGAGCGTAAGGGCCTTTTCATAAGCCAGCAGGGAGGCAAGCTGCATCTTCCTACTTGGCTTTCTCTGACACCACCCCAATGGGGGAGGTTGAGGCACCTGTCACGGCCGGGCGAGGGTGGACGTCCAGGCTCCCACTGGGTCTTTGCTGGCGTGGAGTGGGAGGGGCCACAGTGTTTTCTGTACTGTTTGGCTGGAGTAGAGCAGCTACTGTCTAAGTTTTCTATCCTGCTAGGTACCTGCCATCTCCTGGGTCAGAGTCAATACTGGCACCGAGGGTTTACCCAGCCTGCAGGCTGGCATAGGATTCAGAGTGGGTGGGGGAACAGCAGAGAAATCTGGAAAATCCAGACCCCCTGTTGCTCTTGGCAGCTGTTTGGATCCAGTGGCTATTTCATGGAGACAGAGAACGTAAACAATGGAGTACATTGCAGAGAGGCTCGGAGGTCTGTGCAGCCCAATGCCTCATTTCCCAGAAGAGACAGTGGGCGGCGTGCCACACCCGGGTCGGCCTCTGTTCTCCTGACCTTTGGGACACTCTCCTGGTGCCTCACTTTGCTGCCGGGCATCGTGATGGAACAGGGAAGTGCCTGCTCTCACGCTCCCGGGAGTGTGGGATCACAGGCTGCCGCCAGCACTCGGAGACACCATTGCTGACACGCCCCCACCTTTCCCAGGCTCCGCAGGGACCCGCTGATAAGGAGGTGTGCTCATTAGGCTCCCAGCACCGTTTCATCACCTTGCTCGGCAGCCAACACGGCCAGCCAAGCCCTTCAGTAGGAAGTCCTTCCAAGGTCTAATCATAGGCTCTGTGTGAACACTCATTTTCTCTCCTTGGCTCCTCCGTGCAGACGGAGAAGAGCTGCTCCCTCCTGACCCCCCACGACCTTCGTACGCCTCCAGCTTTCTTCCCTGAAATGCTCAACCCCAGGCCAGGACCCTGAAATGTTTTCTCATGCTTTCCTCTAAATCATCTTCATGCAGCCCTAGCTGGTTTGGATCAGTGGATAGAGCATCAGCCCGTGGACTGAAGGGTCCTGGGTTCAATTCCAGTCAAGGGCATGCATCTCGGTTGCAGGCTTGACCCCCCTGGCTGTGGTTGTGGCACGTGTGGGAGGCAACCAATCAATGTATCTCTCTCACGTCAATGTTTCTCTCTCTCTGTCTCTCCCCTTCCCTTCCACTCTCTCTTAAAAAAAAAAAAAATCAATGGAAAAAATGCCTTCAGGGGAGGATTAACAACAACAAAAAATAATACATCATCTCCATGCATTTCCCCCAATATGATGGGAAGGTGCAAACTGTATGTATTCCTCCTGAGGTGATGGACAAGTTCTCACGGGAAGAGGCTGCCAGGATGCCAAGGGTCCTCAATACAGCCGGATCCCAATTGCTGTGGCTGGACAGGCCTTCTTGGGACTATGTGTGGCCCAGTTTTTGATCTGAGCCTCCTTCCTCCCATCTTGTGGGACTCGGCCTACTCTAGGCTGCTCCCACTTTGTGCCTCGAAAAGGCTGCAGAGGAGGCAAAGGGATTTTGTTCATTTGTCTTGTTTTATATTAGTTGAAATAAAATAAGTAAGCCCAAGGCATGACTAATCCCTGGACGGGGCTTGCATCTGGGCCCCACCATGGTCTGTGACCCACTACACAGAGCTTTCTGGGCAGAATGCAGCACCTTAGCATCCTCTGGCCACCACCTTTCCTGGGCACATGGGGCCAAGGTAGGGAGTCAGGGGCAGTGCCAGAGCAGCCCGCCACCCCGGTCTCAATGTAGCCTGTTTCCTCTGGAACTAATTCTCCCCCATGGGCAACTGTGGGGAAGAAGAACTGCCCTGTCATCCCACTGACCTCAGAAAGCTCAGCAAGGTCGCTGTGGCCAGAGGCACAGGGCCCACTAGGGGCTGGCTGCATGGACTAGATCTGGGCCAACGCCGACATCATTATGAGCACCGACTGTGTGCAAGGCCCTGAGCCGGGGGAGTCAGGGAAGCAGAGCCAGCCCTAGCTCCCATCTTTGGGTTGACCAGCTGACTGAGGGCACAGGCAGATGCACATGGAACAGCCTGATCACATCATGAATCTGCCTGGATGGGAGGCCAGTGGGTGTGCTTGTGGGGCGGGCAGCTGTCCCCGAGAGCTGGTCCTGTGCTCCGACATCTAGCGGACCGGGTTGAAGGAGGCCCTGAATCATGGATGGGCCAGCAGCATCCCATCGGAGCTGCACTCAGCAAACGACCTCTTCAATGGGCAGCTGTGGTTCTCCCCTCCATCAGGGAGCCGCTCCGTGTGGGCAGGGGCAGCTGGTGAAACAGAAACCCTCACCAGCTATGATTCCTCCATCAGAGGCCCAGGGTGGTGCTCCCACTGGAACGTGAGCCCTCGTGGACCACGGGGACAAAGGCAGCCCCCTAGATAGCACCGAATGAGAAGCAAGCAACTTGTCCTGACACCACTGGGCTGCACTGCCAACCCCGAGCACCCACCCAGGTTGTACTGAGAGAGAAAGAAGCTTCCCCCTGGCTTACATCACTCTGTTGTTGGTACCTAATTAACTGGGTCACTCGTGTCTCAATATCAGGCCTTTCATCACTGAACCGAAGTCCTCCTGACCTCAGGAGACCCCATTCCAATCCAGCTGCTGCCTCTCGTGCAGCGTGGTGTGTAGCACACAGGTCCCAACCACAGCCTTCCACCCAGGGGTCCGACTCAGGCCCCTCCTCCGCTCCGCCTGCCCAGGCTTCCGAACCCTGGGACGCCTGAGGTCTGGGCCGCCTTTGGAAACTTGCATCTCCTGCCCGGCACTGGGCACCCTTTCACACATCATTTTGTCCTTCTAAATGGCAGGGCTCCTGAAGGCAGGGCCATGCTTCAGGCCCGCCAGGGCTTAGCACCAGATCCCTGCACTCCCTGGCTGAGGGATCTACAGGAAATCCTTTTGCAAACACATCAACTCTTTGGCCTGCTGAGCTGTGCTTCACACAGCACTGAGCATACCAAGACTCAGACCATGTAGCCGTCCCTTTGACCCTAGCCAGCTCTCTGAAGGCAGGAACAAGCTATTGCAGGAGCCCTTCAAGGCTCCCGCATCTCTCTGGACAGATGCAGTGTGAGGCTGGGCTAGGGGCGGGGGGGATAAATGTGTTTTTTTCAACCTAGGAGTCACCAGGGATTACTCTGGAAGACTTGCTGCCTCCTTCTTCACATAGGAGTTATGTGTCCTGGTCCCAGGACAGCTGGCTGGCCTCAGGAAATGGCCAGGTCTCTGACACCACACCCCTACAGCCTGCCCCTCCAGGTCTTCTGCAAACCTATAGCAGACTCTCCAAAGTGCCCCACTGGCACCAACCCCCAAGGAGTCCCACTGTTTGTGGGACCCATCATCACTTGGATGTGTGGGCCGCCAGTTCATTCATTTTACTGTTGAGTCATGTTCCGCGGGGAGCATGTGTCACATACCGCTTTCCATTCTCCTCGCAGTGGACATGTGCTTGTATGCAGATGTTTGTTATAGCACATAATGCTGCTGCTGAAAAGAAATCCTATGAATCTCTGCTGCCTCACTGTGGGCTGGGCATTCAGGGAGAACTTTCCAGACGGCAGTCGGCACCTGTCCTCTTCCACTTCCTGTGCGCTCTGCCCTCCACTCCTCAGGAGAGCCATGCTTTTCTGGCCTCCAATCCACTGTCGCCCGCAGGCAGGGAGGAGGCATCAGAAAGAGCAGCTGGACCACCAGAGGGTGTACGGGGGACCTGCAGGGTCACCAGCGATGACCATCCTGGGCCAGCCCAGCAACCCAGACAGACAAGACACATGGCGACCTCGGATGGGGCAGAGCTCTTCCCTACCTGCTGCGGGGGGCCTCGCCCTCGGGAGAAGGGACAGCTGTTGTCCAGCTGCCGGCTGCAGTCCGCTGTCCACTGCAGGGGAGAAAGGAGGGGTCAGTGATGGCAGGACATGCAGGCTCAGCCTCCCTCAGCCCAGGCCCCCCACACATGGCCCTGTCCTCCTGCCGCAGAGACAGGAGAGACTCCTGCTCGGCCATTTCAACAGCAGATGCTTCCGACCAGCAGGCCCAGGTTGGCAGCTCTGAGTTCCACGGGGAGGTGACCCTCTGGTACACGTGGGGAAGGCAACCTAGATTCCCTCCACCTAAGCTCACCGAAGTGATGAAGACCCAGCCACACCCCAAAGTCAACCAGACATGACACAGGGTCACTGTGAGCTTTGAACAACGGGCACCATGTTTGCCCACCTGCCCACCTTCAGCCACGCTAGCCCTCTACAACGCCAAGGCCAGAGCTGGAGGTGAGGCGAGTGTGTGTGGATCTTCCCAAAGGACGATGGAGCTATGGACCGACCGGACAGCCTGGCCTTGGGGAAGAACCCCAGACTGGCCAGCAGAGCCCAGACCCGCGACTTCCCGCTGACAGCTTAGAGGCCTGATGTGCCCCAAGGTGCACCCCACCTTGACCGTCCCAAAGCCTGCCATGCCACACTGGGGTCCCTGGACCCCACCCTCCATCCACTGAATCAGACTCTGTGAGGGCAGGGCCTGGGCATCAGCATTTTGACAAGCTCCCGAGTGATGCACCAGCAGTTTCAGAGCCACTGATACCCATGTGACCTCCCAGGCTTCACTGCGTCATCTCTACAATGGACAGCCAGGCTGGGCGGCTCTGCAGGCTGCGATGAGGATGTCTGTAAACCATAAAACACTGTGGAGGTACGAGCAGCAGTAACAGCGGGCCCCTTCCTGTGTGCGGTGCTACCGAGCTCCATGGTGGTGTATTTATTATTGTGTTAAACGTTAGCTGGCCTCGCAGGCTAAGGTTGCTGGACACGGACCTTGATCTACGCCCTGTACAGGGAAAGCAATCTCTCTCTGCCTGACACACTTGGTCAAAACTGGCAGTGAGTGTGGATGGCTCAAGGCCTGGTTCTATAAACCTTGGCTGGAACACCTTCCTGACTGTGGGCCAAGGGCACGACCTTCGTGCAGGAAAGGTATGTTACTACCATGCTGACGACACGGGCCGGTGCAGTGCACTCTAGAGCAGTCTGTCCCACAGACACGGCATGAGAGCCACCCACAGAGCCGCAGACGTCACTGTCAATGACCCGGCAGCCACGTTTTAAAAAGGTCAAATTAAGCGCAAGGCTCCATTTTATCTCAACATGTTTAAAACAGGTGATTAACATAAAACTTATGAATGAGATATTTCTTATTCTTCTCTTCACATTAAGTGTTTGAAATCCACTCAGAGCCCACCTCATCTCGGACCCGCCACATCGCAAGTGCTTGCGAGCCGCATGGGATGGCTGCCATATGGGGCAGCCCAGCTGGAGGGAAATGGCAAAGGTGGCGTCCCAGTCCCGGGGGAGTCCTAGCCCTCCATCCACTTCTTGCCCATCCGGGCTCTGCACTGCAGAGGAGCTGATCCCTGCCTACTGTGACTCCTAGCCTCCAGCATCAGCTGGTTCGGCCAATGGCAGACAGGAAGAAGGGAAAAGTCAGTCAGTTGGTTCGGCCAATGCGAGACCGGAAGAAGGGAGGAGTCAGGGCATCAGCTCCCGCCTCCCCCCACCTCAGGTGGCATTACCAGCAGGGACAGGGTCTCCCTCATGGCTCCAGCCCTCAGCCTTTTGTGCATGACCCTGACCCTGACTCTGGCAACACCTGTGCCTCAGGTGTAGAGGTGGTAAGGCTTCCTGCAGTTAAATCTCGGGTAATTTCGCTGCTCAGCTTTTTTATCATCCGTAACCAACTCCATGGATTAAATTCCCTCTGTCTAGATATTTGCAATCTCAAAGCATCTCCCCAAGATATTTGTTAATTATAGGGGGAAAAGGAAAACCTGAGAAATCCATCAGACACCACCTAGACCAAGTTATTGAGGACAACACTGCCCGTGACAAACTCTATCAACATCCTGGACTCCCCAATACAATGGATGCACTGAGAAGGGCACATTACCTCTGAGGTGTTCTTGCCAAAAATACACAGTCTCAGTCTAATCAGGACAAAACATCAGGCAATTCATATTGGGGAACTTTCTACAAAATCAGTGATCAGTGCTCTTCAAAAGCATCAAGGTCACCCGACCGGTGTGGCTCAATGGTTGAGCATCGACCTATGAACCAGGGAGAGCACGGTTTGATTCCTAGTGAGGGCACATGCCCGGGTTGGGAGCTGGATCCCCACTGTGGGATGTGCAGACAGCGGATGGATGATTCTCTCTCATCACTGACGTTTCTATCTCTCTCTCCCTCTCCCTTCCTCTCTGAAATCAATAAAAATGTATGTTTTTTAAAAAGTGTCAAGGTCGTGGAAGGTAAGAAAAGACCAAGAGGGTTTCACAGATTGGAGGAGAATAAGGAGACACAACAATTACATGCAAATTTGGATCCTGGAATAGAACAAGGATATCAGTGGAACAACTGGTAAAATCCTGCATAAGGCCCCATTGTACCAACGTTAACTTCCTAGTTCTGATCACTGCACTGTGGTTATGTAAGACGCTCATATTAGGGGACGCTGGGTGACAAACAGGTTCATAGGAACACCCTGCACTGTTTTTGCACCTTTACTATAAGCCTAAAATAATTTCAAAATAAGAGTATATATATACTAGTATATACTATATACATACAGGGTGGGGCAAAAGTAGGTTAACAGTTGTTCACGCGGAAAACAATACAATAATTAATAAACAATAATACGAGAATAATCTGTGTTTTGCACTCACAACTGCAAACCTACTTTGCCCCACCCTGAATAGTAAGAATCTGATCATTTCTCGCCACCTCAGTAGTGACCATGCTGATCCAAGCCACCATCACCTCTCGCCTGGACACCTCAATGGCTTCCTAGTCTTTCATCAGTCATACCACGTCCTTCCTCTGCTCAAAACCCTCCCGTGTCTTCCTGTCTCGCTAGAGAAAAGGCCAGAGTCCTCCCCCGGGCCAACAAGGCCCTGCAGACCTGGCTCTTCTACGACATTCCACTGGCTCATTCTGCTCCCAGGAGACTGGACCCAAAGCTGTTCCTTCCTCACAGCGGGACGTGATCTGTGCCCTTGACATTCCCTCGGCCTGGAATACTCATTCCCCAGCGGCCGCCCTCTCGTATCTTCTCCAAATCTTTGCTCAAAAATCCTTTTCTAAGTCAGCCTCAGGGACAGCCCAGCTCACACCCCTGACTGCGCCTCACTCGTGTGTATATAGCCTTTTAACCATCTAGTTCGTTGTCTATCATCCGTCTTTCCCCACCAGAAAGTAAGAGCAAGGGGGAAGGGGGTCATGGTCCATTCTGTTACTCACTCTGTCCCAGAGCCTAGAACAGGGCCTGGTAAATAAATGTTAGCTCTAATTACATTTCACTATTTAGCCAAAAGTAACTGGTAGAAAAAGGGCAGATTTAAACAATTGTGCTTTATGCCAAACACCACCAACCAATGTGTAGGAGCTCATGCTAATCAACAAGCAAGCTACAAACGACACAGATGCTAGAACCTCAACTTTGTAAAAGGTATATAAAGAAAGAGTTTTACACAAAAATTATATTAGCTTCTGCCATAAAATTACGCTGAACTTCTCTCTCTGTTTTCTGATCGTCTCTGTTTTTCCAAATGCTGCTTTAAAAGTAAAACAAAAATTTAACCCATTACAAAATAACTGGTAATCATATTAAAAAGAAATCAAGAAAATGCACATTAAATGACGAGAGACAATTTGTCCCAATACACTGATGGCAGTGTGACTAATGGACAGTCATTCTGGAGGGCAATTTGGCAATGGCTGTTGAAATTGATTCCATTTCTCAGCATCTGCCTGAAGAAACACTTTGTATGTGCAGGCGGAGGCACATCCAACAGTCTTCACTGAAGGACCCTGTATTTCCAGAGGCACATTTGGAAGTAACCTGAATGCCCATCAAAGGTGAATGGCTGAGCGATGGGACATCCATACTATGGGCTACTGTGCGGCCATTAAACAGAACACAGCAGATGTACATGCTTGGAAGACTCCCCAGGGCATACAGCTGGGGGGAAATGCAAGTTTTTGAACAATATAGATACTGGCTAGAACAGGGGTGGGCAAACTTTTTGACTCGAGGGCCACAGTGGGTTCTTAAACTGGACCGGAGGGCCGGAACAAAAGCATGGATGGAGTGTTTGTGTGAACTAATATAAATTCAAAGTAAACATCATTACATAAAAGGGTATGGTTTTTTTTTTTTTTAGTTTTATTCATTTCAAACGGGCCGGATCCGGCCCGCGGGCCGTAGTTTGCCCACGGCTGGGCTAGAATCTATGATTTTGAAATAATACATTTCTATAAGTCATATTATATAGGAAGTCGCTAAGGGAGATTCTTTTGATAATATTTGAATTCTCGTGTACCATGAGAATGTATGACTATAGTACTTATAAATGTAAAGATATATTATTTTTTTTAAATAAGGGGAAAAATAAAATGAGTCCCCCATGCTCAACCACCCCCATGCACAGCTCCCCTCAAACTCACTTCTTCTGTTAAGACTTTCATGGGTGGTCCACCATTGAGTGCTTCCTCCTACGAGCAAGGATGTGGGGTTGGAGGTTCAAAGGCAAGGTGAAATGAAGGGATGGGATAAAAGGGGATGAGGGAACAGTGAACAGGGAAGGCAGAATGAAACAACAACAACAAAAACATGAAGACAAAGAGAAGAAAAACATTGTGAAAAAGAGACCTCAGGCCAGTCTGAGTACTCGGGTCCCAGCCTACCTACGGGCATCACTGGGAGTGCAGTTTGGCTGGTTCCTGTTTCTGTGTCTCAGTTGTTTCTTCTGCAGAATGGAACTACAACCCCCTTACTCCCAAGCACAGAGAGAGGACAACGTTCAGGATACAACTTTGGGGACTTGGAATCCAATGAAGGGTAGGCACTCTTGAAATGTATGTGTGTGGGGTTTTGATTTAAAATAAGGTACCCCAGCCGAAACCAGTTTGGCCCAGTGGATAGAGCGTCGGCTTGCGGACTGAAAGGTCCCAGGTTCGATTCCGGTCAAGGGCATGTACCTGGGTTGCGGGCACATCCCCAGTGGGAGATGTGCAGGAGGCAGCTGATCGATGTTCCTCTCTCATCGATGTTTCTAACTCTCTATCTCTCTCCCTTCCTCTCTGTAGAAAATCAATAAAATATATTAAAAAATAAATAAATAAAATAAAATAAAATAA